GGTGTGAGACTTCGCAGGATTTTTCTCACAAGCTCCTTGTCCGTGTACGTCTTCTTGAGAGCATGGAGATCATTAACGATTTTGGAGAATCGTTCAAACATCTCATCGATTTTCTCATTCTCCTTCATACGAAACAATTCATATTCATGGGTTAGAAAATCTATCTTAGCTTCTCGGACTTGATTCGTACCTTCATATGTGATTTCGAGTTTGTCCCACATATCCTTAGCGGTCGAGCAACATGAAATTTTCCGGTAGTCATCCGGATTTACTGCACAGTAAAGAATGTTGATAGCCTTGGCGTTGTTCTCTATTTTCTTGATATCTTGTGCATCGTATTCGTCTTCGGTTTTGGCAACGGTGGTTTCCCCAACTTTCTTCATGGGCACTTCTTCCCCATTCTTGATAATTCTCCATAGGAGAAAGTTGTTTGATTGGATGAAAATTCTCATTCGCTCCTTCCAATATGTGTAATTCGTTCCATCAAATAATGGAGGCCTCGTGGTGGATTGCCCTTCTCCTAAACATGCGTATAAGTTTTGAGTAGAAGCCATTGATCGTTTCTCTCAAACGGTTAAGTCCTTCAGAGAGTAAGGCTCTGACACCAATTGTTAGAATAAAGGCCCAACGCTAGAGGGGGGGTGAATAGCGTTTAAAACAAAATCGCAGGAAATTAAAAACGAGAGCGTAAAAGTAAAGAGCGTAAGGAAGGAGCACACCGGATTTTATCCTGGTTCACCACAACGTGTGGCTAATCCAGCCTCCCGAGAGACTCTCTCGAGCTACACTAACTCCGTTAAGCTTAAGGGTGCTCAACAAACCGATACAACTTGAGAACTCGAGTCACACGAGCCTCAACACCTTTGCTCGGAGATACCGCACTCCAAGACTTCTCACGAAGGAACAAAGAACTTCCTTCGAATTTACAACAAGGGAACAACCTCCCTTAAAGTGTATAAAAACACTTAAACACTCAGGAATGAAACTCTCACAAAGAGTAGATATGAGTGAACAAGTAAACGCTCAAGAACACGACAATTTCTTCAAGAATTAGCTCTCAAATAGCTAAGAAAAATAGGAATGATTATGCAATGAAAGAGTATTGAAATGTTGAAGAATTGTGTGTAAAATGAGAGGATTTGGGTGCCATTTTATAGCCCAAAATGGGATAAAACCGTTGCTAGAATTTCCAACAGGATGAAGACAAATTTTTAAGAGACACAGGCTGATAGTCGATTATCCAATCGTAATAATCGATTATCAAAAGATTCCTTGTCCAAAAATTTAAAATTCTATCCGTTGGAGGACAACGGTAACCCAGATAATTGATTGTCAACAAGTGATAATCGATTATTGGTCCTCTCAGAAGATTCTGGGTTTTGGCTGCTCAGGTTGATAATCGATTATTGCATAAGTGATAATCGATTATTGAGTGCTTCAGAACTTTGGAGTTCCAAAGCTGCAGTGCTGATAGTCGATTGTCACTAAGGTGATAATCGATTATCACCCAGCTAAAGTCTAGCCAACTGAAACCCGTTTTGAAAAACCGAGGTCCAAAAACGAAGTGTTCCCAAAAGTAAAAACCAAATTTGAAAAACATTGTATATGGTATAAAATAGTGAAACCAGGACTTGTTTGGTAAAACTAAGTCTCCAAGGTCGTAAATCACGTGTGTACGATTTTGATCGTTTCTCACGTGTTAGACCGATTGACCAAGATACAAAAGTGGTTTTTATGAAATAATTATTTGGGAACCTTTTAAATATGCTCAGAGATAAAAACAAGGTTTAAAACATAGAAAACCACCGAGTTGGTTCGAGCGCCAAAAAACCGAACGCCGAACACCGTACGCCGACTTAGGTGATTTTGGTTCTGAGCAAGGACCAGGGATTTTAACAATAAAAAATTTATCAAAAATGTTTATTTTGATGCACAAAAGTATTTTATGATTTCGTAAAAAATATTTAGACTCTTTGAGAACAGAGACTTGAATTGATTGTCGGTTTTGATCACAAAAGACCAACTCGACTAAGGCTCTGTTCCATACGCCTGATCTGATTGAATCTGATCTGAATTTTTGAAGTTCTGATCTGATCTGATCTGATTGGGTCTGATCTGATCTGATTGGGTCTAATCTGATCTGATTGGATCTGATCTGATCTGATTGGGTCTGATCTGATCTGAATGGATCTGATCTGATCTGATCTGATAGGATCTGATCTGATCTGATTGAATATGATCTGATCTGATTGGATCTGATCTGATCCGATTGGATCTGATCTGATCCGATTGGATCTGATTTTCTCTAATTAGATCTGGTGTAAATGAATTTAAATTTGATTTAAACTAAACTTAAAGTTATTACAAAATTTTATAGTTTTAAAGTATTACAATTCATATATACATAAAAAAAGTAAAATATGAAAATCAGCTAATCATTGATATGATTAAACTTTTTTTAAAAAATATTAAACATCTTTTCAATATCACAACTTTTTTAATTGTTGTGAAAACTAAATAATCGGTATAAAAATAACCAAATATAAGATAATATTGATGCTATTCTACAAGAATATCACATTCTATATACATATTACATAATAATATATTTCATCTTACAAATTAAATATCATATAAAATTTTAAACACTAATATCTCTTTCACCTCTATCAATTTTGTCATAAACTAACTCACCCTTGTGTATATTAATACAGCTGTTGCATACTAATAATAATAATAATAATAATAATAATAATAATAATAATAATAATAATAATAATAATAATAATAATAATAACAACAACAACAACAACAACAACAACAACAACAACAACAACAACAACAACAACAACAACAACAACAATAATAATAATAATAATATAACAATGATAATATTTAAAATTATAATATTAAATTAAGATTTAGGTGTGTGTATTTTTAAATAAAGTAATGTGATTTAATCAAATAATAGTAATTATTATTTAATCCTTGAAAAATATAAATATTATCTTTTATATTTTTCTTGATTTGATATTATTAGATTTGACATCTGATCTGATTGGATCTGGTCTGATCTGATCTAATTGGATCTGATCTGATCTGATTGGATCTGGTCTGATCTGATTGAATCTGATCTGATCTGATTGAGTCTGATCTGATCTGATTGAATCTGATCTGATCTGATTGGATCTGATCTGATCTGATCTGATTGGATCTGATCTGATCTGATTGGATCTGATCTGATCTGATTTTAATAAGAATAAGTAATAAGTAAAAAAAATAAGTCCTACGGAACGGACCCTAAGTCTTCAATTCTTGATCTTGTCCTTGAGTCTTTTAGGTCTTGTTCCATGCCATTCTTCGCGCCTGGAGTTATGCAACGAAACTCTTTATATCCACGGCGGTTTGGCAATTATCAAAACCTGTCAGAAATGAACACGACTTTAGTTAAACGTGCAAAGTGTGTTCCAACAGATTCAGCTTTGAGTTCAGGGTTCTGGAGCAGGAGATAATCGATTTACACAAAGTGACAATCGATTACTGAAGGCTGCAGAATTTCTGGGGAAGCTGATAGTCGATTATCTGGAAAGGATAATCGATTATCGATCCCTGCAGGTGTTTCCAATGGGATTAATAATCGACTGTGGGGAATGATAATCGATTATTTGGCAGAATTCTGGGCAGGAAGAAGGGTGTTTTTGTGGGGGAATGGACTGGAAATATATGGAGTTGATGAGAGAGTTCTTTTGGATATTTTAATTGGAAGAAAAGAGTGAGATTAAGAGGAGAAATGGGGGAGGGGATATGAAATGGAAGAAAATCAGAGATGGATAAACCAAGTTGGTGTTTAAGAGATATTACACACTCTTATCCTAACTTGGGGTTTGAATCTAGAATTTAATTAAGATATGACACACTTAATTAAATATCTAGAACCTAAACTCACACTTAAGATAACCACTCTTAAGATATAGAATTAGGAATTTGGCTAAAATAGCATCACACTATTTTAATAATACTCAAAGAGTAAAAGATTTTCAATATTCAGAGATTGTTACAATGGCCATATGGCCTGATTATATATAGGCAGGGGAAGGGGGAAGAAATACACAATACATTGAATGTAGACATAAGGAAGCTTCCTAGAAGCAACTATTTCAAACACATGTGATAATACCCATTTATTCTTGTCTCCTTAATGGAAAGAAATCAGAGATGTTGGCTGGTTTGTGGGGATTTGTGTTTTGGTTCCTTGTGGTTGTTTCCTGGTTTTTTTGTGGCTATTATTTGGGTAAAATGAGGGGTTGTGTTTGCTGAGAAAAGGGGGCAGGGATGGGGGCTATAATGGGTGGTTTTGGACTTATAGGTTTGGGTTATTGTGAGGGAATATGGGCAGGAAATGAGTGGCTAGTGGTGGGTCAGGGTTTTGGCTTTTTGTGGGTGTTTATGTTGGGATTTTGAAGTGTATTTTGGCCAGGGGTGAATGGAATAAAGGGAGGGTTTTATTGGCTTAATAAAAGGAAAATAACAACAAACAAAAAGTTTTATTTTACACACTCTTATTTTTGGCCCTGGGCTAAAATAAGAGTAGGAAGAACTTTATTTTGGATATCAAAAGGAAATAAAATACTTTTGGATATTTGGGAGGGGTTGGGATTTTGATGGAGCCATCCAGGGGTATAACATTGTAATTCTCGACCAAAGAGAAAAATGAATGGTTTTTTGCATATTCAGCCTTGATCTGTAAATGAAAAAAACAAAAGTAATTAAAAAAAATCAATCAGCAAATAAAAATGTTAAAGAGACAAATAATTAAATAAGAAACTAGTTAGTACAGTGTTTTCTTATATGCCTTTATTTGAATGTATGAAAAATATAAAGTAGTTGTCATTCATTAGTATCATGAGCAACATCATCATCTATCCTAGCATGATGAATTAACTTTGATGTGTTCTAAAGTTAAACTAAGGGAAAAATCACCCTTGGTCATAAAGGCTGCAATATTAAACATTACAAGTCAATAGGAAAGTCCATACACATCTCTGCCAAATTTCAGCATGATGAAGAAGTTAATTATCAGTAGTTTCCAGAAATCTAAATTAAAACCAGATATAAAAGTTATGACCAGATCAAAACAAGACATCCAAAGCATGCCAGTAGCTCCAGCTTCACCATCTTAAAACATACAAAATACCAATTCCATTCGGCTTCAACCATACTCCATTGGGTATTTAATTCAGGATCTAGATTATACCATAAATATGTACTATGAAACACATCAAATGACACCTGTCTGCACATTTTTAAGAGTCCATATTTCATAAAATACGTGGGTTTAGTAAAAAATGGTGTGATTTAGTAACAACCTATCAAAAAACCCAAAATGCCAAAGAAGAAGATGAAAATAGTAACTAACCACTTGAGCAGCAAATGGCAGCATCTTCTCCGACAGCATTTCAGCACAGATATGATTGCTGCACAAAGTTTAAGGAGAGTTTGTTAATCTCTTTCTTGATGACATACTTAACATCTCCTCTGTATGAACAAATGTAATTTTATAAGATATACAGTAAGGGTTTACCCCGATAAATGCATCCCCAGCACCTGTTGTATCAACCAGTTCAGAAGATGGTATCTTTTCGATTGTTCCCACAAGTAGTCTCCCACTAACCATTCCTATTCCCTTGGCTTCCAATTTTGCAAGGCGCTGTATATGGTTGTATGTGAACAATGATGTTAATACAAGATTACAAATTGGAAATGTGTTTTTAAAAAGAATGCTAGAAATTGAAAATTTTAAAACTATCCGCCTAAAACCTGGTCAATAAACAGAAAACCATTGCCCCAACACCTTACACCAAAAAATTAAACCGTCACATTTCTAAAATTAAATAAAACTGTCACATTTCTAAAATTAAATTAAAAAAGTAATTAATAGAAGAGAGGAATTGAGTGGTAAGTTTAATTGATACTGTTTTTTATGCTAGCAATTTGTTTTATGTCATGCGCAGCTTCTGAGGAAATAAAATTTCTTTAAAAAGTAGAATTATCATCTCTATAAGCCAAAGATAATACTCCGTATAAATATTGCCTAATTCTAGTGCAAGAATCTGTATAATACCCCATTGGGTTGGAATTTGATTTTTTTAAAAGTTGATTACAAAATTATGTGTGAAGTTATTGAAATAACCTTCAAGAGAATACAAAACCGAGGGAAATTAAAAGAAATTGAGAATGGGTGAAAATCACCTGGGTGGAAGCTTGAGGGGCACGGTTTCGGCCAGTAGCATCAGTGTTGATAGCCTTGAGGGCTATGAGACTTCTATTTCCCTATTGTCCAATTGCCTAGGAATGTAAAATTACTCTTATTCAAGATAACAACACAACAAATATGGAACATATGGATTCAAAATAGAATCAACCCACCTTCTAATTATAACTAAAAGCCAAATTTAGATCTATTTTTGAGAAAATTTGAATTCAATCCAAATTCAAACACAGCCGTATATAACTAAATCATAACTTAATTTAAATATGTCCAATGCAAACAATAACAATGCACACAATAATACTGAAATCAACCATATGAATAAAAGCGAACCTAAACTAGAAAGGAATTGTTGAAGAACAACATGGATTTGAAGCTTATGTTGAAAACTAACCATTGAAAACTAGAATTTATTTGATTTGGTGCTGAAATTGCCGTTCAATTGCCTCATGGATTTCTTGTACTCCGTCGAGCTCGCTGCATCGCTGCCATAAACCAAAGCCGGCGGCTGGTCCTCCGCACGGTAGGAGAATTTGGCCGGTTGCTAGGTTCAAGATCCAAGTCGAAGCGTTGTCTCATGGCTGTGAAACTGCCCTTAAGTTTGGATTTAAATAATTAGATATAGACATATCTGTAAGTCTAAAATGACACTAGTGCTACTGATGTCATTTGTTTACATCAGTTTGTTTGGAAGACCTACGGTGTCTCGTTTGTAAAAATGACGGTTCCTACCCTCCCCTAAACCCCCCACCCCAGCCCCACCCTTGCCCCCCACCCCAGCCCCCCTCCCGCCCCCCTCCCTACCCTGACAGTAGGGAGGGGGGCGGGAGGGGGGCTGGGGTGGGGGGGCAAGGGTGGGGCTGGGGTGGAGGGTTTAGGGGGAGGGTTAGAGGGGTAGGAACCGTCATTTTTACAAACGGGCCGGGGCAGGTACCCCAAACGAACTGGTATAAGCAACTGGTGTATAAGTAACTGGTGTCATTTTAGACGCTCCCTAGACATATAGTAGCAATGTTGAACAATTGCCACAATAAGTCTAATGTTTTGTTGCAAATTTTTAATAGCCACTAATAATTGTGGGCTATTTTTATATTGTAGCAAACATTTATTTTGCTACTAAAACTTAGCCACAAAAAGTAATATTTTTTGTAGGGACCCTAGCACCATGTCGGATCATCGAAGCACCAAACGATTGCGCTCAAAGTCCACAGTCGGTGAATCAAGCACTACCCGAGATGAACGATTTGTCTCCTTGTTTGTTTTTCCCAGAGGTGATTCCCAACGCCTTTTCTTCAATGATTTTTAAAATTGCCCAATTTTAACCCCAAATCCGTCGTTCATAACGTATTTTGTCATTTACCTTTTTTCGATGCTACTAGTTTTGTTGATAGACTCGGTCTCACTTCATTTTTGCGTAGAACATTTGATCTCTATTGTCCAAATCTTATTCGCTTGATTTATGCAAATCTTTCTTTCAACGGACGGGTTCTCAAATCCTCCGTTAATGGCACCGACATTGAGATGAATCTAAAGGATATCGGTGAACTTTTTAATCTTTCCTTTGAGGGTTGTGATTTTCACAAATTCACGTCTAGGGAATTCAAAAAAAATTCTCCCTACGACACCATCACCGATGTTTGCACTGAAGATGTTCGTGAGGGCAAACGTCTAAATGTTGGAGGCCTTAAGCTTCATTTTCGTATTCTCTACTATTTCATTTTGAAAGTATTAGCTCCTCGCACGTCGAGCCATTCTAAAATACTTTCATCGGACACGCGTCTCCTTTTTGTGTTTGTGAAGAATAACAAAATTAATTGGGCAAAGTTCCTTTGCAATCACCTTCTTTCAATGAAATCAAAAGGGTCTCTTGGATATGTGGTACCGATCATGGTAATCTTTAGCATACATCGGGTTAATTTGATGAAGGACATACACGTCAACAACCACCACACTTGGTACATCGACGTCTTTGCCTTCAACCGCTCCAACGTACCTAGAGCCGTGGAAGAAGAAGGAAAACAAGAAGAAGAAGAAGAAGAAGAAGAAGTGGGTGAAGAAGAACACGACCCGGAAGGTGAACTGGAAAATGTCCAAGAAATTGCGCCATTCGAGCCTCAAGTGGAATCGAGTCGGCATTCCTCTCCTTCTCGGGTGTCACGTTCTACTTCATCGCATCGCTCTCACCGGCCCAAAGGATTTTGGATGCCTAGTGACGTGCACTCGCGTCGAGGTGGCCATGCAAGGACATCGTCTCTCACGTCTTGAGCAGCGGATGACAGAGCTAGAGTGATGACCATACTTCGGACCGCGTCACAGCTACAGCATAGGATCCCGGCCGTCGAACTCTCTTTGACTTCTTCCTCTCTCTTTCTATGTGATGACTTATTTAATTATGATACATTGTTGAATGTTGTTCTTATGACTCTTTTGGTTGATGATGATGATGTTTTAATTATGGATGATGTTAATTATTTTTTGTTGATGATGTTGTGTATTGATATTGTTGATGGTTTGGCAATATTGTTCTTCTTTAAGAACATATTGTCCCTTTGTGGCATATTGTTAGGAGTTTTCTTTTAAGGGGAACTCTTACAATTTTTTTGGGCTATCCTTCGAAATCCCGGCATCAATTAAGGCGGGAGGTTATCGGTTGATAATGCCAAAAGGGAGAAGGAAAGATAGTTCAGAAAACTTGTTTTTCAAAACGTTTTTCCGCTTGTTACTCCGAATGTTTTTTTACTGCACTTCTCTAACCATGCAGGGGGAATTTAATTAAGGAAAGTATTTCTCGAACTCATACTTTGCTTTTTCTCAACTATGTTTGTCATTATCAAAAAAGGGGGAAATTGTTGGACATGAGTTCAAACCCCTTTTATATATTCTGAAATTTTTTTTGGTTTTGATAAATGACAAACAGGATGATTAAAATCAACGATGATCGAAAATTTATTTTTGTATCGAGAAAAGCAAAGAGGCGTATCAAGAAATTCACAGCGATAAAAATCAACGCTCATCCCTACGCAGAATTTTTGAAGTTAAGTGAAGATTCTGAAGGCACTATACACTCAATTTCTTAAAAAATGAGATGGATAGAATAATAATTATGAAATATTTAAATTTATTATTCAGTACTAAACATATTTTTGATATTTATAATTTATATTTTGATAAAGATTCTTCTCGTGCATCGCACGGGTACGAATCTAGTACTAACAACTAAGATAATAAGACATGTAAAATAAAATCTCAAGAGTGAATTAATAGATGAGAAGTTGAAATTATCACGTTGAAAATAGTATATCAACTATCAAATGTTAATGGTGGCTAGCTGCTGAACATTGATAGGATAATTATCAGTCGGTGGTCCAGAGTAGGCTCTCTGAGCAAGCACGGCGTTCACATTTTGCGTCGTATGGAACGCATCCCAAAAGATGTATTGAGTCCTATTTCCACAAGGAGGATAGAATGGGATACACGTCATTTGCCCCATGTTTGTTCCTATCCCACAACATGGTTTATCCCATATAGAAAACCCTGCGCGCCATTATTACAGACCATGAATCATTCAAATACTAATCAACTCATCATTATGATGGTAATTATTATAAGAAAAAACTAACTTAACTTTGAGGGATATATATAACCGAACTGAAATTAAACTGAACCGATTATAACATACGGAGTATATCGAAAAGATATCTAGAAGGAATAATTCTAAACTGAAATCAATCTGATTACCACCTATATGGAGTATGGAGAATAAAATCTTAAAGAAGGTGGACTTAGGCTCTGTTCCGTTCAACTTATTTTTACTGATCTGATCTGATTTTTGTAGTTCTGATCTGATCTGATTTGATTGGATCTGATTGGATCTGGTCTGATCTGATCTGATTAATTATGATTTGATTTAAAATTCAAATCAATAATTTGATTTCACTTTATAATAACGCTAGAAAATTGTAATGATAATTCATATTATAGTATAATCAATATTTTTTATTTTATGATTATTTTTTAATAAAATAAAATTAGTGAATTCATATATTAGAATAATAATTCATATTATAATGTAATAATATTTTTTATTTTACGATTATTTTTTTGTGAAATTAGAATATTAATTTAATATTTCAATAATTACTTCATATATACATTAGAATAAATATTTAATTTATATATACATTAAAAAGTAATTAAATTTAGATAATCAATATATAGAAGAGATAGTATTTTTGTTAAAATATCTCATCCTTAAAAAAGATCAAAACTTTAGAAACTCAAATTACAGGTAGCAATAAAAATGTATTTTAAAAGTAGAATTAGACTGACATTGTCAATGTATTTTAAAAAATAATTTTTCCGACGTCTAATAATTAAGGATTATTTTCTCAGTTTTCTATCTAACTTGTTTCTAAAGTTTATTATTTTTCATTTTTAATAACAACAACAACAACAAGAATAATAACAATAATAATAATAATAATAATAATAATAATAATTCTTGACGGGATATGGATCTGATCTGATCTGGTCTGATCGGATTGGATATGATCTAATCTGACCTGATCTCATTGGATCTGATCTGATCTGATAGGATATGATCTGATCTGATCTAATCGGATCTGATCTGATTTGATCTGATCTGATTTTAATAAGAATAAGAAAAAATAAGAAAAAATAAATTGAATTGAAGGGAACCTTATTACCATATTTGGCACGATTGTTCAATATATCGCCCATTATAGCATAGGTGTTCCCATATACAAAAATAGCTCCAGGATGTCCACCATTGTTAAGCGTCTCCACTAGACTTCTCAAACCATCATTGAAGCTCCCAAGCATCTGGTTAACTGAGTCAACGCATCTCCCTGTTTGGGCCTGGCCTGTGACTAGCTGGTTTGGAGTACAACCAATCGGCCCAATCCCTGCTATATAGAACTTCCTCAACCCAACACTATATAATGCCTGTATGCAACTTCACAAAATGTAATCTTTGCAATGGCATGTATTACACTACATACGAAGTAGAAAAGAATGGGATAATAGTGCTGAGGACCCGCTGAATTTTTTTGATAGGCTATTTGAAATGACAAAAAATAAAATGTCTTATTTCCGATATTTATTAAATGTAAAATATTTTTAATAGGTAAAGTAAAATTTTATTTTATAAGTAATTAATTTTATACAAAAAAATACTCTTTACTATAAAGTTAAACAAAAAATTTAAATTTGACCTAATTAGATGAGATCACATTAATTTTTTGTTGGGGGCATATGTATATAAAATTTTAAAAAATAATATTTTTAACCTTATCACAAAAAATTAGTTGGGGGCATTTGCCCCCTACTCATTGCAATTGGATCCGCCACTCTGCATGTAGTGAGAACGATATACCATAATGTCATTCTTTTCTACATTGGTATCAAACATGTATTCCTATTAGTTCTACATTGGAAAATAATTAATGTTTTAATAGTGTAAATTTTTCCCTATTATTCGATTAAGTTTAACTAATCGACCAAACATACTACCCAAAAAATATGTAGGACCATAAAAAATGCAAAAGATATCATAATTTGACTTCTTCTAATCAAACAAGATAAACTTTGAACTTTAATTAAATAAAAATTGTAATGTATATTTGTATAAAAATGATTGAATTAGATTTTTCTTGTTGAGAACTTTCAAAATTTTATTTCATTATACTAATGTGTAATAGAAATGGAGAGTAATTGAAGTTTGAGATTTGCCGAGTTTGACTCGAATAAATTAGATGAGACAAATACACTGAGACGGAGCTAGTATTTTAGTTATCTACTTGTTTTATTCATTTTGACCGATAATCATAGATCATTTTTAAATACGAATAATTTATTGGAAGTTATGAAAAATAACTTATAAAGAACATATAAAGTATAAACTAGTCATGTTAAATTAAAAGGAATGGAATACAATCAAGTTTTAATTACTCCTTTTTCATGTTTTTCATTTCATTACTTTAAGAGTAAATTTCTAAAATAGTTCTTTTTGAGAATTTATTTTAATTTAACTTTAAAGTGTATAGTGAATTGGGAAAATAGTTTGAGTTGATGAAAAGTATATACTCTATTGGACCTGTTGCACATTTGTTTCGTCTATCTAAAAAAAGGTTCTATTTTCCACTCATGAAAAAGTTTTTGTGACCTATATATTTTCTCTTATCTTCAATACTTTCAATCATGCAATTTTATTTTTCTTAATTTACATGCCAAGTTAAACGTAGAATCTTTTTGTTTGCGGGACAAACTGACTCTACTTTCTTTGTACATTTTAATCGATCATTTGATAAAATAACTTTATCGATGTAGAATTTCTAATGTAATTTTTTTTATATTCTACACTTGTTTTTATTTATATTTATTTGAAAATAATTTCAGTCAAATATGATAAATCGAACGGGAGTCTTATTTTAGGATGAGGAAGTACATGTGGATAAAAGCATGCACGTACGTACCACAAGTTGTCTGGTATAGTGGTTGAGGAGAAGGGTGGCGAATTGGGAGGTATTGTAGTTGAAGCTAGTAAGGTAGATAGAAGGCATGAGATAGTTGTTTACGTAGTCGTTGCTCCCAATAACAACCACCGCAATTGCTTTTGATAGGTAGCTACTTACATTGGCCGGACTCATCATCGTCCTTAAATGGCTCAAAGTGCTTTCGAAATTCACCACTTGTTGGCTCAATGTGTACCTGTCCATCTGCATGCATACATATGAAATTCAAAAGTTTCACAAAAACGATACAATAATAATCTAGCAAGTGCAGTTCAGTTATGTAAAACCGACCATAACCGTTCGGTTTGATCGGTTGGTTTTCCTCTATGTCGGTTTGGTTTCGGTCGGATAGCATGGACCAAGATGTAATTTCGGGCTTTCAATCGAAACCGACTCGATGCTCACCCATAGGATTAATTAAAAGTATAATAAATATAAGTAGTGACTGAGTATGTATTACATAATGTCGGGCAGTTTCGTCGAGGATGCCGGCACCGGGGGAAGCGTAATTCACACCACCCAGTATTCTAGTCCCATTTGTGTTGGGGTCCGCAAAGGGAGGAGGCGGAGGCAGACCCAACCATTCTCCTGATCATGAAATTCAAAATAATAATTAGACTTATGTTTGCATACTACAATTCGTTTAGATTCTTAAATGTTCAATCAAAATCAAAATTTTAATGTGAAAACAATATTAGTGTTTATGCCATATCAAAATCAAAATTTAGATTTCCTAATAGACAACCGGAGCATTTGATTTCAGCCTTTTGATAACCAATTAAAGAGTGAATAATATTTTTAAAATGAAAAAAACGGAAAGACAATTTTAAAACATGTTTTATCCACTATTTTATTGTGTGCAAACGTTCTTTTATTTTCTAATTTTTTTCCGGTGATCAATAATGTAAATCCTAACTGGCTAACTTTAAAATCAATCTCATAAAATATTTCTTTTTTCTTTTTTTACATTCCTCCCGAAATTTCATATTCTTTCCATTAGAATCTGTTACTTACTGTGTTATTATACTCATTTATTATTAATAATCAACGTATCACATCTTATTTTAATCTATCATAAAAAAAGATAAAATGAGAAAATAATATTTAAATTACACTTTAAATACCGTTGAATTCAAATTTGGAAATGTTTGTTCTCATTGAGGAAGTATATATTTATGTATTGATAAATTTAATACGAGTATTAAAATTTTTACAAAGTTTGAAAGCCTGTGCATTTTCACATTTTGCAAACCTTCGGGATTGGCACGGATACTAATATGATAAAAGTATTAAAAGAAATCTACCATCTATTTAAGTAAAACTAAAAAATGAACTCTTCTATCTCCTTATTTCGTAAACTAGTATTACCCCCGTGCGTTGCGCGGCTAACATTTCAAATACGAAATTGTCTAATTATGTTAATGTTGAAAGAGGTGCATTTAACAACAAATACTCCGTAGATTATTAAATCAAAATATAATATTTAAAGAAATTTAAAGTTTGAAATTTTTTTTGTAAACTACATTAAAAAAGCTCCACATGAGTAGTACAACTAATGGTACAAAATGAAATTTACAGAGTATTTAGAAAATAATGAAATAAAAATATGCTGCAATTACTTACACACAAAAAATAAATAGTAATTAAATAAAGTAACTTTAAAACTAAAAAAATTGCATAAAATTTGATTAAATCAATTAGATTATAATATATCAATTTGAATAGTTACAATATGTTAGAAATTAGAAACAAATACATTAAAAAAGCAAATGCAAGATATCAATTTTTATTAATTGCATTTAAAAATTATAGTCATTTAAAATTTGGATCATTTTTATGATTTAAAAATAAACTTTAAAGTTGAATAACACATTATATTATTTCTACCGAAATAATTGTGACAATCCTACATATGAAATGAATTTTAAAATTTGAGTATTAAATTCATTTTTAAACGTGGGTAGAAACTAAAAATTAATAGATGATAGTAATCCACAGGTAGAGCGAATATTTATATAGCCAATAAGGGATTTGAAAAGGAAATAGACGTGCAAAAATGTTCATGATAAAAAATGACATTATGTACCATAGTTACTAATAAATGTACACTAAATGTACAATGAAATAGTAATATTTCTATTAGGCATGTATTATGTTAGGCATGGTAATAAAAATACTCATTTAAAATGGTAAGTATTTAGATAGCCTTGAAATAGTGTTTACTTGTGGAAATATTAGTAGTAATAATGTATGGTATGTAATTTTTCTTCTTGTCAACCGTAAAATTTTTAAAAGCTATATAAATATTTTCATAATTAAAGTGACATTATATAAAAGCTACATAATATAATTATTATCTTTATTACACCTTCTTTTGGTGTATTGATGTATAATTGTTATCTTTTGGTGTATTGATGTATATTTCAGTTTATTATCAGATTTTTCATAAAAATAATAAAAATTTATGTTCTCCTTAAAAAGGTAATAATATACGTAATTAACTTGTCAAGCGTAAAATTTTTTGTAAAAGGTAATAATGTACCGAATAATGAATTTCCTCCTTAAAATTTGAAATTCTCTTTAATTGAATCTAGAGACTAACTTTTCAAGCATAAAATTTTTAAAAGATAAAAAATTTTTATTATCAAATTTATATTATATAAAAGCTACATAAGGTGTTAATGTACATATATTTTTTCATAACGAAACACTATTTCAGCGCGATTTCAATCCTTACCATTTTTCTCCCTCCGTCTTAAAACTTTCTTCCCAGAGCACTATTCCAACTTCACGGGAATTTATATTTATTTGTGTTTTTTCATGGCCTATATGATAAAATAAAATATTCTTGTAACCACTTGTTTTGTTGAACTTTTGATGTAATTTTTAAATATGTATGTTTTATTTTTTATTTCTATACCAATATTTAAATAAAATAGATTGAAAAAACTTGGGATTTTTCTTCGTTTTGCGAAACGGGAAGAAAGATATAGGACAGAGAGAGTATTATTTTAACATAATGCACGCCTAACAAAAAAGTATATTTCCTCCATTAAAGTTAATATATTACCGTCAAAATGTTTATATAATTAAATCCACATTAAATAAAATATATATAAGGTAATAATGTTAAAATATTTTTTTTTACAATTAAACGTATAAAAGGTATTATATTTTTGAAAAATGTATCCATGATTAAATTGACATTAAATAAAAGCTATATAAGGTAATAATGTAACAATATTTTCAATAATTAAATGCATAAAAGGTAATTTATTACCAAAAAAATATTTCAATGTTATTTAAGTTCTTACCATTAATATATGAATGTTTGGGCGGGAAAAAGACTTGCACAATTTCCCCTCCTTTTAAGAATAGTATAGATAGAAATATTGGTATTGTGAAATACTATAATTTGACATTGTGTATTGGTAATTCACAATAATTTTGACAATATTATGTTTTGGAAAATATTATTTAGCACGAGTTTAATGGACCAACACCTCTTGTGGTTTGGTAAATGTGTACCGTTACCCCCCATGGTTTCAAAACTTACGTCGTTACCTCTCATAGTTCTGATTTTGCTACGTGAATGCCCTATAGGCAAAAATATTCTTTGAATTTTAGGTGAATAATTTTGCTCCCCCTATGGTTTTGGAAATGGGTGCCAATGCTCCCTCTCCTTTTTCTTTATTGTTTTTAATTTTTCTTTTCTTTTTATCATAAATAGAAGAAAAATTTGCGTGTAAAATAATGAAAAATTATTTTTTCAAACCTACGTTTTTATCTTTTTCAATGCGTCGGGAACAAAAGAATACTGAATAACATCTTTTTAATACATAGTTTATTATATATTAACTAGTACGTTTATACCCCGTGCTTCGCACGTGTACATTTATATGAATTATATCTACAAATGTGATATTCTATGTAAAATATAAAATAAAAAATGAATAAGTAAGTAAAATTCACTTTGTATATATATTAAAGTAGTCATGTTAAATCCTCTATTGAAAAATTTATTAAACTACTCCAAAGTCATTTACTTCAACTCTCAATTTTTTGGATTTGATAATATTATTTGGATAAACATGAATGGACTCGAATTAATTTTTCCATATATATATGAAAAATATACAAACTTTAATTAATCAATATGCATCATTAATTTTAAAAAGTATGAACGAATACTACTCCGTATATTTTAATATAGTTAATAGCAGTCAAAAAATAATTTTAGTGGTAATAATAATTCTTTTTCTATTCAAATGTTTATTCATGTATTTTCCAAGACTTTTTTTCATGGCATTATAAAATGAATATTTTTTTTAAATAATACTCCGTAATAATTACTAATTAAAAAACTATTCCTTTTTTTCTGATTTTTTTAGATCGGTGGAACAATAATTTTTTCAAACACATAAATTTCTCACAATTTAGATACTCCATATATATTTATAAATTTCTTAAAAGTATAAATTTTCAATATTCTAAACACCATATTTATTGCATTTATTTATTTATTTTGACACCATACTTTTTTGCAAAAATAAAAACCCTTGGCAAAATATTTTTATGTATAGAAAAAATGTTTCAATAATGGAAGCATAATAAAAATACAAATGAAATAGAAAAGAGTTTTCTATATAATTATTTTTCTCTAAAAACTTATTTAGTAAATTAAAAAAATAAGCTTTTTTGTTTTCATGATAGATGTGACTCTTGAACATTTAAAAACTTATATGCATTACTTTATACGTTTATTGAATTGTAATTTTTTATTTAGTAATTTATAATATCAATAAGCTTAGTATTTGTAACATTTAATTGGTTAACCACACAATGTAATATCTAGAATATTGCAAAACTATAAAATACTAAATATTGAAAATTTTTGCATATTTTTGATGTCTTCTAAATAAACGCATAAATGCTAATTTGATAAAAAAACAAATATAGAGAATAGCAATAGATATTTTTTGAAGAAGAATTAGATTTAATAATGATGCACATGTGTTAAACATTATATAAATTTTATTTATGGAAAGTAAAAGAGAAGGATAAAATAGTGAGCACTCATAAACATTTATATAAATTAAAGCTTTGTTTTTTACAAATAATAACGTATAAACCATATAATAAACAATTTTTAAATGATAATAAATATTTAATGGTGGAAACATATTGGTACAAAAGTTATAAAATGAGGAGTTATTTAAAAATGATTATATATAGTTGTGTCTTTTCATTTTCTTCACATTGAATATCATTTTTGTAACAATTAAATATTTCTTAGTATTACATAATGGAATGATGTGGCATGATGTGGCATTGTAGGTGGCAATGAAAGGGTGACATGGCGTGACACATGTCATAACCACAATTAATCCGCTCAACTTTGTAAATATATATATGATGATAATATTTTTTGGACCAATGCACAAAGATTTCCTTCATGACTTAATTTTTCATATTCTATAAAAGTATTCTTTTCATATACTTTTCTTTTTCTTTATTTCCTTTTCTATTCTTTTTTCTTTTATTTTGATTTTTATTAGAATAAAGAAATGGTATAAAATTAATGAACA